GTGGTCTGTGTGTTTTTGTTTTCGTGAGTGAGACGTGTTCAAATTAGCTACTTTACCAGCTTCTAGCTCTATAGCGCGTGGGCTGCACGACTTAGCACTAGTTGNAATCGATTTCTTGGGATGGATTTGTATATAATGAGCTAAAATTACACCTATTCTGAAAAACTCGAAGTTGGTGTTGTATGCTAAAGGTGAGAGCTATTCTTATAATTACTAGTAAGCTATCTATAAGAATCTAGTAGCTATCTAGCGCTAGTTTAATCTAGTTAAGTTAATAATGTAAAAGTAGAGTATTATAGATAATAATATCTATAACTTTAATAAAACTAGCTTTATAATAAGTAAGATTTTATTATAGTTAACGTATTCCACCACCAAGAGTGCCAGTCGGTCAACGTATTCTCGTCTCCCAAGTGATCCACTCATCATGTTGATGTATAATCAAGGAGAAGAAGTATGCAATAATTGACAAGAAACATTTATGGTCACAGTATGAAGTGCATTGAAAGCCAGCGTGGACTCGTTCTTGTAGATAAAATTGGCCGCAATGCCATTATTAGGTTTCGGGAATAGTGGTGTTAACGCGAGAGAACGGAATTAACGGGCTTACAGACTTAACGGCGCATGAATCAGGGTCGGCTTCATCGTACGACCACTCAATAGAGTGGAAAACGATCGTCCAGAGCTACAAACAAAAGAGAGTTGACATGCACCTACTTTGATATTTTCTTCTGAACACTATCACCGAGCGTTACCTCCGTATCACGTGTGAATGTAGCCTTGGCACAATTAGATCTCGTTTCCTCGTTCTATCTTTGTACCTTAACCTGTCTATATAAACTAATCGCAGACCGATCGCTTCGTAGTTGCATATCGAAAGTCCACAGAGCCTCACAGCAAGTCGGAACAGTCTAGCAATACGAAAATCACACATGACTAAATCAACAGACCCACCACGCTTGCAAGGGAATGGCAAGCTGAACGGGTTCGCAGAGAAACCTTACCAGGCAGAGCCTAACATTGAAAATCAAGCTACTGAGTCGAAAAGACTATCCACTATATCATCCTCGACTGCTAATGGCAGTGGAAAACCAGAAACACTGGAAGACCACAGTTCAGCTGCTGAAGAGAAAGCTGCAGATGAGCCGGCAAAAGCTGTTGAATATCCAAAGGACCTCCAATTGTTCTTGATCATGCTCGCGCTTTTGCTCAGTATTACTCTCTGCGCTCTAGATCAGGTAAGTTCTGCTGGCACAAGTCCTTCATACAGATTCGTTCTTTGCCAATGCATCATACGCCAATACGCTGACATCCTCCATCCAGACCATTGTTGCAACTGCCATCCCAAAAATCACCGACCGCTTCGGCAGAATCCAGGACATCTCATGGTACGGTTCTGCGTATTTTTTGACGCTCGGAGCGTTTCAGTCTCAGTGGGGCAAAGTATTCAAATTCTTCCCACTGAAAGCCAGTTTCTTGGCCGCGATATTGATCTTCGAAGTTGGGAGCTTAATCAGCGCCGTTGCCCAGAACTCGACTACTGTCATTGTTGGACGTGCCTTTGCTGGCCTCGGTGCCTCGGGTGTAGCGCCTGGAGGATACACGATTTCTGCCTTTTCTTCCGAGCCTGCGAAAAGAGCTACCTATACCGGGCTCATTGGAATGACTTACGGCATTGCCGCGGTCGCTAGACCACTTATTGGTGGAGGACTTACAGATGGGGTATCTTGGAGATGGTAGATAAAGGCGCTTTCACTCTTTGTCTTTCTTACAAAACAAATGGCTGTTTTCACATCAACTTCAGTTATAACAGAAGCTCATCCCATGTCAAAAATAGGTGCTTTTACATCAACCTTCCAATTGGCGGTCTGGTCGCGGCCGTCATCTTGACAACTTTCAAGACTTCTTCAACCGCTCCGCGAGTGCGAGCTACACATAAGGAGAAGATTCTACAAATGGACTTCCCAGGGACCGCACTTTTGATGGGCGCATCAGTCTGCCTACTTCTAGCTCTTCAGTACGGTGGAGTGACTCATCCTTGGAAGTCTAGTCTCGTCATCGGCTTACTCGTCGGCTTCTGTCTCATGGTCATTGCACTCATCGTCGTAGAAATATGGCAAGGTGAGCGAGCCATGCTGACACCACGTCTCATGCGACAAAGAACCGTCTGGGTCAACGCTGTATGGGGTTTCTTCTTTGCCGGCGCGTACTTCATCATGCTCTACTACCTGCCCATCTACTTCCAAAGCGTCGACAACCGTAGTGCGATTGGCTCTGGCGTGCGCAACATTCCTCTCATCGCCTTGTTCAGTGTCTCCACGTTTGCTTCTGGTAAAGCCGTCTCGAAGACGGGTATCGCCGCCCCATTCCTGCTGGCCAGCTCCGTGGTTGTGACCATCTCCACCGGTTTGTTGTACACTTTTGATATCGGAACACCGACAGGCAAATGGGTTGGATACCAGATGTCGGCGGGCTTTGGATACGGCATGGGCCTCCAGATCCCGCTCATCATTGCGCAGGCTTTCGCTGCGCCAACCGATATTGCTCCTGTAACCTCCATAATCATCTGTAAGTCTTCTCCCGCTTAATTCTAGGAGATGCTGTCGTCTCTGTTTGATCTCTTACACTCTGAAGCTAACTGTATCTCTTGGGAACAGTCGCTCGATCTATTGGTTCTACATTCATGATTGCAGCTGGACAGTCCGGCTTCGATAACCAGCTCTTGCGCCGGCTTCATCGTACCGCACCAAATGTCGAACAATCTCTAGTCATATCTACAGGTGCTACAGCCCTGCGTCAGGTTTTCCACGGAGCCGAGCTAGACGGCGTCGTCCATGCGTACGCCTGGGGTATCAAGGTTGCCTTCGCAATTACTATCGCATCCTGTGGCATCAGTGCCATCGTCAGCTTGGCCACAAAATGGGATAATACAAATGAAAAGAAGGCCAATACTTGAAGAGGTTACTTAGAGCATGATTGTGATAATCTTGTTCAGTTCTTCCCGTTGAAGCTATTGACTTTGTACTTGGACCGCTCCAAAACTATTGTGCCACTCCGCCATCTTGCCAATGCTCCAGTTGTGGTCCTCTCGCATGTGGAATACAGTTAACCTTCCAAAGCTATCTTCCGCCTCCCCTCAACATCGAGGCATTCCCTTCTACATTTCTGTTCTTTTTTGTTACATAGCAAGATTGAGTCGCATTTACTAAATGCCAGCTGAAGCAGGCTAATTTTAATCATTCACTTATTCCGAATCGTGATAGTAATTTATAATAACTCTTGGAAACAACAATACACGGCAATTCCTTATAAGAAGAAGTGTAATAGTGTTGTAATGAATACTAGAAAGGATTCTCTCACTAGATACAACCCTAGATATTTGGAAAACTACCAGAGATCTGTATAGGTAATATTATTACTACAGAGTAAGACTACTTACCATAGTATATAGCTAACTAAGAGAAATATAGATCTAAATTCTTTGTATTTCTATCTCTACTGACTCTAAATCAGACGATACGAAACAAGTATTGATATTGAATTGTGTATAATATTAGAGAAAAAATGGAAATATAAGTGTAGCTATAGAAATTTAGATTTGGAGTATATTAAAAGTGGGTTATAAAAATATTATAAGACATTGAAAGCTATAGTATTGACTAGCATTAGTTTCTTGACTCTAAATTTCTCTTATAGCTAAAGGATAATAATTATCCTATATCGCTAGAAGTTATGAATAATATCTAGCCTATGATTTTAAATTAAATGTTTATAGTATATAATCCTACTATAGAACACTTTGACTCGTAGTATGTATCTAGATTTGAAATTAATAAGAATAATATGTAGAGTTTATTATAGGGATAAAAGTGTAGAGATGTATATTCTATATTACCTCTACATAGGCTATAGCTTTTCGAATCTCGACAGAATAGAAGACATCCTTTATTTATTTAGTCTTGCTTATGGTCGTTCTACATTTTCAGCAACTCGAAGTACATCTGCCTGCGAGCTCCGTAGCATATGCTGTAGCCAAGTTGGAAAGCCACGCGCACCTGAAAGCAAGGAAAGAGTTCTAGGCAAAATGACCTGGCCGCTTTTGCCGCCAAGGATTTGAGCGACAATGGCATCAGCAACGTCCCCTGGCTCTAGCACAGCATCTGTGAACTGGCCCGTCTGTATCAAGGGCTCTATCAGTGGTGTCCGAACCCACGTCGGATGTATGATACTATTGCTAAAGTCAACATAATTCGCTCTAGTTGATCCGCGCTTCAAAAAGCACACATCTACTCTAGACTGAAGATATCTTACCTGGTTCGAACGTTAGGCGCGTTGTAACGATATTTGAGCTCCTGCCCTAGGCCTTCGTGGAACGTAAGGGCAGCAGCCTTGGTGCAGCAGTAGTCTGTATTGCTTGCGATGGCGATAAAGGATGCCACACTGGCGATAGTGACGATATGGCCGTGGTTCGTCCTGATCATAGATGGCAAGAACTCTCTGACGAGGAAGAAATGAGCGACTATGTTGACATCAAACGTCCGGCGGATCTCATCGTCAGTACTGTCGAGAATGGTTTTGGCATAGCCAATGCCAGCATTATTCACGAGGACCGTGGGATCGCCGACCTGCTTGCGGATTTCCTTTCCCACATGCTTGATATCCTCGTTCGATGTGATGTCCATTTTGAAGAACCATACATTGGAAGGTAGCGGTGTTTTGGGAGGCCGTAGGTCCACAACGACAACCTTGACGCTGCGCTTTGCGAGCTTTCGCGCCACAAGCTCTCCTAGCCCGCTGGAGCCGCCGGTAATAAGCACAATCTCCTTGCACCAGTCCCATTGGATCCGAGAAGAGTTCCCCAATGCGTAGTTGTTCAGAGAGTTGTTGATGAGATATAAGAGACCGATGCCGCCTAGTACACTGGCAGCTGCTCCTGCCGGGAACGGCATGGTTTCGATGAAAGACAAGACCCGTTGCTGGATGTCTTCTGGGAGAAGATTGACCAACTTTTGAACGCTCATTGTGACTTGGAATTCTCGGTCAAGAAAAGGTCCTGAGCCTGATTAAGAAGAATGATGGGTGTCGGGACAAAAAGAGAGAGAAAGAAAATTGAGGTGAATCAGAGAATGCTAGTTGATGAGGGTCCTATGGGAAGTTGGCAAATACCAATTAAATAGTTTTGCATCCAGGGACTAGAGATAGTGCGAACAAGAGATATCTGCAGAATGCGCACCGAGGCTGACGATCCTTAGCTTCGGCCTATGTGTTCTCCTCAGCCGACCGCGATGTAAGGCTGACGCCGCTCCGAGCTAAATACGCTAGTCCCCAGATCCGACGGGCCCACAGCCCCGCATTATCGGCTAGACGGAGAGATTTACATGTTGGCAATTCCCGAGCTTCGGCTCTTTTGCTCTCCTCTGCCGGGACACTTCCACCTTGATTTCGTCTGACAATCACAACCGAGGCTGCCGACAAGGGAACATGGTAGGGGATAATCCGTGTTGTCAGCCAAGTTCTCCTATTTATAGGGTGGATATTTTTCTCATCTAGCCCAGCTGAGGCGATTACTACTGTGCTTTCTTTCTCCTTTCTGTGACTGCGCGCCTGTATAAGTCACTTCTTTACTTTCTGCAAAATTATTCAATATTGAGACGATCCTAACTATGCCGGCCGCTCGGGAGGACCTTAAAATCAAGAGCTCCCGGGGTGACCTAAAGATCGCCCTCTCCATCTTCACAAACCAACATGTTCCCCAAGCACCTACACCCGTGATCGTCATGGGCCATGGCATTGGCGCTGTTAAAGGTGCTGGCCTACCGCAGTTTGCAACAGCTTTCGCCGAGCAAGGGTACGCAGCAGTCGTGTTCGACTATCTGCACTGGGGCCAAAGCGACGGTGAACCCAGGGGAGACTTGGTCGTGTCTCGTGAGCTGCAGGATTTCAAGGATGTTATCGCATGGGTGCGTTTGCAGCCAGAAAGGTTCGACAACCAACGCATTGTGGCCTGGGGATCAAGTTTCGGTGGCATGCATGTCACTGCGCTAATGGCGCAGGATCATGATCTGAGAGCCGGTATCGCGCAGTGTCCTTGTGTTGACGGCACAGCATCCTCCTTGATGTTGCCACTTGTCTACTCTCTGCGACTTGGATTGACGGCAATGGCAGACGCGATCGGGAGCCTATTTGGCGCCAAGCCCATCTATGTGAACCTGACCGGTGATGACACTCCAGGCGCTCCGCTCTCGCTCATGAGAGGACCAGAAGCTGTGAGCGGGTTCAAAAACATCGAACCAATAGATGGCACTACCCTTTCCAACGCTATCACGGCGCGCTCCGTACTTCAGGTGTTGGCAATCCGTCCTGTACGACACATCCATAAGAGCACAAAGCCTTACCTTCTTGTACTCCCTACTTGGGATCATCAGGCGTCTCTCACTGCGGCTGAGAGGGCAGTGCAAGAGGCACCATTAGGCGAGGCATTGAGGGTTGAAGGAGGACATTTTGACCTGTATCCAAACGCACCAGCATACCAGAGAAACCTTGCAGGCCAGCTCCAATTCTTGAAGAGGGTGTTCAGCTCGGAGTAAAGGTCGAAACAAGCACCAAGGGCAGTGTAACTCCAGTATGTTAAAGATGTCCATTGAACATACTCACCGACAGCACCACGTGTTGAGAGCCTGGATGCTTGACTCATTGGACGTTGGCTGAATTGTTCAACTTATGTGGTCCGAAGTGAAATCAGAGCCGACTCTTCAATCACAGCCGTGCTAGAAAAAGACAAACTCCTCAAAAATCAACAAGTATCCCGTTGTGACGAACATGGTAGTGTGCCAGGATTGACCAATCAACTCTTCAAGAACCGGCAATGCTCACTAGATGATGAATTGGCTCTGGCACAACACGTTGTCCTTCACGAAGGAATACGCGTTATTCCACTTCAAAGTCCGCCAATATCAGTCCAAAAGGCATCGCCGAGCTATCATCAGTTTCCTGCGGAGCGTGTATACACTCTTGCCACGATGCAAAGGATTGATGATCCACGGTTGCAGTTGCTCTGCTCGGCGCCTGTCGTTTTTGAGAACACGATGACGGGGTGTCGTGCATGACGAGGTCGTGGTTGTGACTGTGCTTGGACACCTCAGATTCGAGCCAGGCCCGCATGTCATTTTCACCGGCGACCTTCCCCTCACGTATACATTGGTCGATCACTGACACTACCCGCAAGTACTGGCTTGGGGAATGCGTCAAAAACTCTGGCCAGGCAGAAAGTGAGGATATGGCGCTCGTCTGCTGAACCATGCGTGCCACCTGCTCGACAGCCTGTTCGATGAGACCTACGCCGTTATACTGAGGAGATAATAATTTCATGGTCTCCCGCAGAGCTGATGTAGTCTCTTCCTTAGCGCCAGTGCCTTTTGGTCGTTCTGCGCCGAAATTAGCGGTGCTGGCGTTGAGCCGCATATTGATTACTTGAAGTGCAAATGGCATGGCAACGCATGCAAGACTACAAAATGAATTGGATGTCAGAGATACGCCAAATCAATGTTGGGATTAGGACTTACACTCCGACAGGCAACCACCTAGCCAGTCGCCTCTGGACTAGTTCCTCGAGAAGTGAAGTCGTACTTGACATTGAGTTTTGCAGTGCATTTCGCAGCTTGGATACTTCGTCTGAGTACGCCACAGTGTCTATTTCTCGAGTGAATGCCAGTGAGACGCAGCATTGAAGCCTGTAGTTGTCAAGGGACGCCTTGGCGTAACTTTCCCATCATTAGAATCTGCCATCAACGTGGGAGTAGAAGAGTAGACACGTACTGATAGTAAATATACAATAGGTTTGTATGGAGTACTACGGACTTGTCGAGCTCACCAATACTATCCTTCTCACTGGATCCATTTACGCATGTGTCGGCAAATGGTGGGTGAATGCTGGTGGCTCTAGCGAACCAGGATTCTAGATTCCTTTCATATTGAGAGAAATTTGTACCTACCCCTAGTTCCAAGTTTCTCCTCGATCTCATAGAGTCCTGATGACGGGCTACAAGGGGAAGGATATCGGTCAAGATGATGTTAAGGTCCATGAATGTCTCAAATATTTCTAGGAGTTTCTTTTTGCTGGCCGCTGAGTAAACGCAGGATCTGAACATTTCGTCGGCAAGATCTGTTCTGTTCAATGGTTTGGCAGTCTCAAAGTTGTAGTCGTCTCGAGTTATCTGCTGGTCATAATGTGCACAAAGAGGAGAGATGCGGTCCGCTATGACGCAGCACCACCAAAGGCGCCGAAGGGCCTGCGGATTTGTATCTTGGGCATCAGTTACCTGTGTTGGTGATTGTGCAGAATCTATCAGACAATCTGCGTTTATGCTTCTGGCATGTTGTATAGCTAGTCCAAGCCAAGTTCGAAATGGATTGAGGAGCAAGTTGTCTTGTGGTACCCAGGCCATCAGCAACAGGGCGGTCTGTGCTAAGTAAAGCGGTGATGTCTCGGTATTCATGTCATAAAGAAGCTTTGGTGATGGAAAATGTTGTCAGTGTCTCAATTTTGACGTCACAGTCGTCGGCACTATACCTTCACTTTCCGGTAGAAAGCTGCCCTAGCAGAGAGAAGATCGGGATATCCTAAACCCCTGATGATGGACAGTGGGACGAACTGTAAGAAGGATTAGTCGCTGAACACCTTTTGGCCGGGTCCCTGGGGCCTATTCATATACATACAGTGCACGAACTGAAGAGCATAGCCTGAAAGACCAGAAGCGGCATAGCTGGAACCGAAGTTGCAAGAACCCCATTCCGACGGTAGGCTTCCCAAAACTCACCCTCATCAATGAGAGGCATGAACGGATGCACGTACAAGAAGTATTGCTGAACAAAGTCGTCAATGAATTGCTGCATGGGGATATGTAGGCATCCCTGAAGTTCAAGAAAGTTCAAGTCCTCGGCAGGGATCATATGAATATTGCCAATGGCGAGGAACGGGAAATGTGAGTACAGAACAGTCGATCTAGCTACAGGTTTTGGAGCCTCCGAGCACTCGTCATAGTAGGGGATTGATGACGGCTGCACATTGAGAGGAGAAAAACTGGGATCATTGCTGATGTTGTAGTTACCGCCCAGAATTCCTGCTCCACAGTCTGGGCTAGAGTTGGAGGAATTCGATGCCGCAGGCTGGGCCTCCGCATTCTGTTGAGATCGCTTTCGCTGCCAGCTCAAGGTCGACCTGCAAGAACAAACTCAGTTCTTCACGATTCGCCCAAGTATGCCCAGACAAAGGTGTATACATACAGCCTGGAGGCTCTTGAGACGACAAGACATTTCTGACTATTCATGCGGCAATTGGTGCAAGGTTGGCTGGCCTTTGCTACATCGCAACGGACCTTGCGCGAACGGCATGAAAGGCAGGCTTTCGCAGCCCTCGCTTCTCTAGGCTCCGACACGGATGCGGTCGAATCTTCAGCTCCATGTGCTTTGTGCGCCATTTGAGTGATATATTACCATATAGGTGTAAAGATTGATGAGTTAAGACGCGTCTTCTCAATTCTTCGAGTCTCTAGCCTCTCAAAGGTTATTCTCCGAAGCTCCCCACAGGATAGCCGAGGTAGTATCCAGGTGCCAACAAGCTTATACTGAAATTAGTTAGCATAGCAAATCCACTACCCTACTAATTCGTGCGAGCGGCCAAACCATTTATCCGCTCCTAGGGTGGTAGCTAGTAGTGGAAGCTAGTATAACGTGCTCTACCAGTAAGCTCTGCACACCACCAAACTTGATGCGACGCTTTTCAATGGCGCACGAATTGCCTCGAGCAACCTTTCCCAGCTCTCTTACTTGACCAACATCAGCAAGTCAGTATAAGAGAAAATAATCACATCCAGGCAGCAATGCACTAGGAAAAAACATTCTAGCATATCTTATACGAGGTTACTGATTGTACGGATACTACTAAAAAATTAGCTACTGTGCAAATTTCCACCAATTGAAGTTGAAAAGGTTGCCGCTGCCGCTCCCAGTGAACCGTAAATACAAATCTTGAGTGCCCGTAGCGCCGCTAACAGGGCAGGTGACCGTAGTCCAGGTCTGCCAACCGCCCGTTCCAGAAACAGTACATGTGCCGACAAGGGTACCAGTCGTACTGCCCAGACGCAGCTCAATCTTGCCACCACTGGCCGCCGACGCGACTCTTGCACTGAAGGACTTGGCTCCGGTGCCAAATGAGACACCCTTGACTTTGATGTAGTCTCCATTGTTGATGGACGTTACGTCGATTCCGCCTTCGTTGCAAACTTCGGTTTCTACACCCGACTCCCAGGCGATCGTTTCAGCCTCCTGTTGCACGTAGGGGTTTAGGGTACCGATTTGAGGCGGGCCGCTCGTTGTCATTGTAAGAGTAGGGATAGTACCGTCGGCATTGTATACGAAGCGCTCTACGCAGACGGATCGTGTGTAACCGCTTCCCCCAGGAAGGGCACCGTTGTGGTAGAAAAAGTACGAGTTTCCTTTGAAATCGACGACGCCAGGATGGTTTGTGAAGCTCGCACCCGCCGTTGCCATGACTAGTCCGCGATAGGTCCAGGGCCCAGTGGGACTAGTGCTAGTGGAGTAACGAATATCCTCGGAGCAGCAGTTGGCTGCGTAGATCATGTAGTAAAGTCCGCCGCGCTTGTAGAACCAGGGTCCTTCCTCGTATGCAGTGGCCCTTGTGCCCTTACTCCGAGGACCAAATCCAGCAGTTGTGAGCTGAACTTGGTTGACACCTCCGCTGTAGGATATCATGTCTTGGTTGAGCTTTACATAGGAGAGACCCGGATTTCCCCAGTACAGGTATGCCTGGCCATTGTCGTCTATGTAGACAGTCGGATCGATCTCGTTGTTATCAACCAATGGCTTACCGATCGCGTCACGGTATGGTCCGGTGATGTTGTCGGCAACGCCTACGCCAATAGCCATGCTTCCAGTGGTGCGCCGCATTGGGGCGTAGAAGTAAAACTTTCCGTTTCGTTGGATAATCTGCCCAGCCCATGCGTTTGCATTTGTCCAGCTGAAAGTTTTCAAACTCATTGGCGACCCGTGATCCTGCCAATTTGCCATGTCCGCCGTCGAGTAGAGGTGCCAGTCCTTCATATTGAACGTTGTAGATCCGTCTTCGTCATGGCCAGTAACGACGTAGACACGGTCATTGTAGACAAGGGGTGATGGGTCCGTAGTGTAGATGGTTTGGACGATAGGATTGTCGGCTCTCACTACCCCAAACCCGTTGAGTAGTGTGCCGCGATACAGCACAGTGGGAAGCAAGGCAGCAAGGCCCCCAAACAAGGTCCTAGCGTTTGAAGCTACCATGATGTAACGGTAAGTAGAGTGGCGATGATGGTGTAAATCGAATTGGCACGTCAAACCAAAAGGGGATTGACTATAAAAGGATCCAATACAACATACTCAGACGTTGCTGTCCTATATATAGGGCGAAATTTGCTTACCTGCTACTCTAAAAAAGTTCCTCCGTCGTAATATGAGATCAGCGCACTAGTCGTATTTGCACGATCTCCAGAGTAAGCAGTGCATCGTTTCTTCCGCTCGCAGGGTCCCTCTTTCGTCACTTGACGGTTTGAACGCTGATGGCTGTTTCCAAGAGATGCAAAGGATGTTTTTAAATGAAGCATTTTGAGGACATTCGGGGTTGTTCTTGCGATAGACGTGGAATAGACATGTTTGATAGTTTTTCCCGGCGGGGGGCCACGCTCCCGAGACAGTCGTTGGGTGGCAGCGTTTCAGGTATGGTTACAATACGAACCCCGCAAATCTCGCGTGGACATCGGAGATTGCAGCCTGGTCATAGCTTTAATATTCCGATACATTGTTAAGAATAATAATCCACAAATCACAATTTGCGGATAGAGATGAAGAGTGCTTCCGTATATACAAAACTCTCCCGTGTGGACATACCCCTCTCAACGCTGGCAGTCTAAATCCGGCAGTTGACTGAAAGCTGTATTGGACAGTATTTCCTCAAGGTTAATGGTAGGATTGCGCCCATTGGATGTCAACGAGCATTAGCGCACACACACTCCTGACGCGTATTCATCGATGAGCCTGTTTGCAATGAATCATTGTGTAGCTGGTGTGAGTGGCTTTGATTTTTGGTTTCCTGAAAGCCATGGTATACCGCTATTTGCAGAGGCAGACAAAGACTGTTGGAGTGGTTGTGATGGATACTCCGGTGTAGTCGGGAGAAGACGTAGATGAGAGGGCTACATGTTCACAATAACAATGGAGAAGCAATCGGTGCCCAAGTTGCTTGAAACGGCAGAGTTTGTTGAATAGTTTGAATATCGGAGAATAGATTAGGCAGTAGTCTTTGCTACGAGACTGTTGCGTCTCGCGCTGTCGTACGACAAACTAGAGTGTTTGTGTTGCTAGAGTGCTTACATGGAATTTACATGGCGTGCATGTGACTGGTGAAGAGAAAAAAAAGGGGGATTGCAAGGTCGCTGGAGAGAGAAGACAAGAAGATATAAGGATGAGCAGTCTAGATGTGAGTCTTGTTCAAGCCCTTTGTGAAAAGAGGGCTCTGGCGGACGCGCTCCCAGTCGTGCAACATAATGGTGTTTGCTGTGCAGTCGCGAACCTCTGCGCCTCCGCGCTTAATCACCTCATCTTCGTAAGCAGTGATGGCGGCAGTCTGGTCATGGCCAGCGCGTATTCTGGTGATGGCATCACACAACTTTCCTGCGTCTGTGACCGAGTGGTTGAGCCCCTGTCCACGCTGGTACGTCATGGGGTGAACAGCGTCGCCGACCATGGTGACGCGTCCATTGTGATTGTCCCAGCGATGACCATGCAAGCTAGGATCCCACTCGGTAAGGCCAAGATACCATACGGGTGTGTCGTCGGGGGTCCATTCCAGGGCGCTCTTCCAGGGGTCGCAAAACTGTTTGGCAAGTTCCTTTTGCTGGGCGAGGCGTTGAGCGCTCGTCCAGTGCTTGGTGGCCTCTTGCTCTTCCAAGCTGCTGGGCCATGAGATGTAGAAGAAGAAGGTCCACGACGAGGGGTCATTTGCATGCGGGGCATGTTGCATGCCGAAAAAGGCAAAGTAGTTGTTGGGGTGGGCAGAGGCCAGGTAGAGGGGGTGAAAGGACCTCAGGTGAAGAGCCTGGTCGGCGGTGAAGGTGGACTGAACAAAGGTGGCGGCATAGGGGATGTGGTTGATGGCACCCAGCTGGGGGCCAAGCAGAATGCTGCGGGTAGCAGAGTGAGCACCGTCGGCGCCGACGAGGATGGAGCCCGTGGCAGTGGAACCGTCGGCGAAGTGGGCGGTGACGGAGCGGCCATGTGGGGGGTATGAGATGGCGTGCAGCGAAAGGTTGTAGCGGATGTCGACGCCGTGGGACAGGAGCTGACGCAGCTTGCTCCGTCGCAGGCGGTAGAAGGGCCCAAAGGTGATGGCGGCGACGAGCTCGCCCGTGTCACCACGGAGCCACTTGAGGGTGTCGAGGGGTTTGGTGGGCTGGTTGGGGTCGACCTGGAGGCTCTGGACGTGCTGCTCCCACCAGCCACGTGGCATGAGGCTCTGCAGCACCGGGGCCGCCCAATGCAGGCCCATGTTCCAGTCGCGATCGCCATGAGCAGCGCTGGTCTTTTCGAAGACGGTGCATGCGATGCCGGCCTGGTGGGCGCTGTCAGCACTAATGAACTGCTGGGGTGGACTACTTGTACCTATATGCTCGGGCATATACTATCCATGTGCAGTACTAGTAATACAGTCCCGCAGCAACACGAGGCTGTGGTTCCGAACACGGCCAGTACTACACACATGTGTGTGTATACACATAACAATCACGTGCTGTACGTACCTTGGAGAGGCCTTGGGCAAGCGCCAGACCCGTTATTCCTGCGAATCAGTAAGAAGAGGCGCTTTTACATGTACATGTGGCGTGCTGCTGTCGCTGCACAGCCGTTGAGGCGGCGTCATGAGGCGTACCAGCACCAATTATAAGGACTCGGTTGTGCGCATCGCTGTGTGCTTGTGCTGCTGCTGCTGCTGCTGCTGCTGTTGCTTCTGCTTCTGCGTCCGCTGCTGTAGTGCCGCCGGAATATGCTTCCCCCATGATCTCGTCTGATGATGTCGCCCAAAAGATAAGTAGTACGTCTCGTCCAATTCGCAGCGGTTCCAGAAGGACGAGAATAAACTTCTGCACCGGCGGCGGCAAGTTCCACCCCAAGGCCATCAGGCCACCCGCCCTGCCTGCAACAGCCGCGCGGACCGAATGCAATCACGCCCATCAACCCCCCGTCGTCTTGTTAACTAAGTATTGCATGCCGCGGCTAACAATATGCGCACGGCGTCTGTTGGCCTGCCCTTCACCCACTCAGGCGCGCCGGAGTCTCTCTCCGCCGCAGGATCGCCCCGGGGGGTTTTCTACGCCAATCCGGACCCTCGTCCTCCATCGTCCAGCGCTCGACACACACACCCACACACACACCCCCCATGTCCCACGCCTCGGCCAAAGACACGACAGTTCATGAGCAGCAAAACGGACCAATGCCATTGCTTTGCATCAAGTGCATTTCCCTCGACTCGACTCGACTCGAGCACCACGACACGACAAACACGCCCCCCTGCTGCTCAATTGACTAGCCATACTCCCGACTACCGCCTTTACTAATATGTAACCACACCCCTCGGCCCGCCATTTCCCACGACACACACACGCACACACTTTCCCTCTCTGCCCAACACCAACCCGCCCTCCCCTTCTCCCTTTGTCAATGGCCCCGTCCAGCCCGCACAAGCCTGCGCAGGCTGCCGGCATCCATCTCCACCCTCAAGACAGCGCCATGCACTTGCAAGACACGCCCCATCCCCCGCAAACTGCCCCTGCCTCACCCTACCCCACGTCACACACGTCCGACGCCGTGACAGACGGCGACGACGAAGGCCTAGCAGGCTCGTCGTCGGACTCGGGCTTCGACAGCGGCAGCCTCTTGGGCGATGGCACCGACTCGCTCGCCTCGTCCATCCTCAACCACCGCATGGAGAACGGCCGCCAGTATCATGCCTACCGCGACGGCGCATACTGGGGCCCCAACGACGAGCTGGCCAAGGAGATTCTCGACTTTGCCCACCACATGTACCTCCTGACGCTCGACCAGAAACTGCACCTGGCCCCTCTGCACAATCCCCAGGCCATCCTCGACTGCGGCACCGGCACCGGCATATGGGCCATTGTGAGCACCACACCACACGCGCCCTTTGCCTGAACCCCACTAACGCAATCAGGACATGGCAGACCAGTATCCCTCGGCCACCGTCACCGGCACTGATCTCTCTCCTATCCAGCCTGAGTGGGTCCCGCCAAACTGCCACTTTGAAATTGACGATGTTTCCCTAGAATGGACTTTTCCCCCAAACCACTTTGACTTTGTCCACATCCGCGAGCTGTTTGGCTGCATCCCAGACTGGGACTTTTTCTTCGCCCAGGCCTATCGCCACATCAAACCCGGCGGCTGGATCGAGATAGTAGAGCACTCGGTGTGCCCCATTGCCGACGACGATTCCATGAGCCCGGACCACTTTTACCATACCTGGGGAAAGGTCGTGGTCGAGATGGGAGACAAGTTTGGCAAAAGCTTCACCATCTGGGAAGAGAGCGCAGAGAGGATACGGAGGGCCGGCTTCGTCGATGTCACCGTCGTTGACTTCAAGTGGCCAATGAACGGTTGGCCTACGGATAAGAAACTGAAGAACATTGGCCGATGGAACCAGCTGCGTCTCATGGACGGAGTCGAGGGTTTCATGCTGCGGCTACTGACTCAAGTCGGCGGCGTAAGTATTCCACAATAGCAATGCCCTTCCTACTGCCTACTAACCGTGTACAGTGGTCAGTTGTCCGTGCCCAGCTCCACCTAGCTCAGATGCGCAAAGAGCTCAAGAGCTACAAAACCCACGCATACCTTCCCGGAACCGTTGTTTACGCCCGCAAGCCCTTTCGTACCTGAAGAGAGAGCATCGACATGCTCTTACCATGTCCTTGACAACTACTTTTCGCGTATACGATACAACCCAACCACCTGCAAACATGGTAGACGCACAGCCAGTAGTACCTTTTCTAGTGGTATATCCTGGCATCACTGCCATCACTTATATCTGTCAACACCGAGCTTGGCGGTACAATTGCAGCTACCTGGAGCCATTACGAGCACACTGCCTCGGCTTCGGAAAAATCACATGTCGCGTTCAGCGTCCAGTAGACCGCCAACTGGTTCTCGGTGCAGTACAACGCGGCAGTTCAACTTCAGCCTAGATAGGCCCATGTACTGTCTTGATTGATATTGCACCACCTCCCCTAGTAGCTTTTCTAAAGATGAGGGCTAGACTGGATCCCCTTTACTCTGTCTATGTTACAAAATGGCTTTCGCGTACTGGCTTCACACTCGACCCTGTAGTTGGCAAGCACCTTTTCGGGATCGGTATCCTGGAGCTTGGCAATACGGTATTCGGTGGCGTGGAAGGGCTGAGGCAGCGCAGGGTACGAAGCTGCGAGTTGCGGTGGGCTGTACTGGAGTCCCAGAGCGTCGAGCACAAGCGGCGCCAGAGATGCTGAAGACAGAAGGATGCGAGACATTCCTTTCAACCACACGTTAGACCAGTGTCTTTTGTCAAGTAGTGCACACAAGGAATAGAGACACGTACCATGTCCTGTGTATCCGGCATTGATGAACTGATTGCTGCGAGATGGCAGGGCACCGACAAACGGGAAGCCATCTGCGCTTGTTTCGTGGGCTACAACGTATTTTGTCAGCTTCCTGACATGTTCCACATCCTTCTTCTTTGCAAAAAAAAACACTTACCCCCAGTCCAACTGCCCCCTTGCTCAACATCAAACCCCAACTCCGCAACTTTGGGTCCCGGCCAATCCACTACATCCGCCGCCGGCCACGTCTTGTAGAAATCTGGTACACCCGGCGCTTGCTTATCGTCTTCATCGTTCAAAATACTGATTTCAGGGTAATGGCTGAGTAATTGGCGTGCACCGCCTATGATGATGACGTTGTAAGGTGGGGGGAGTTGAAGGTGGTAGTTCTATTATTTTCCCATTATCAGCCATCTCTCATACTTGATAGCATCGGGGGGGGATAGATAGAAAGTAAAAGGGGGAAAGAAGAAAAAAAGAGAGGAAATGTACATTTACCATGCCATCCCAATGCTGCGCCCCCGTCATCTTCACAAATCCCTCTGGCGCCTTGATCGCTGCGATTGCACCTAGCTGCGGTAAGATCAGTCGTTCGAATTCTGGGAGCAGGTGCGACGCCCAGCGGCATGTGGCATGGACTACCGTCTTTGCGCGCAGCGTGCCGCGAGACGTGGTAAGCGTTATGTAGCCGTCACTATTGCGCTCTGAGACGGCGGTGACGGAGGTGTGGGAGTAGAGGCTGAAGTTGGGAGTTGAGAGGAGGATGCGCACGAGGGCGTGGATGAATTTGTACGGCCATCTTCATGCGAGTTAGCCTTTTATTATACCTTCTATCCCGAAGGATACATGCGGCGAGAAAGGGAGGGGCGGGGATGAAGGATACATTTGTCCTGAAGGATGCACAATCGCTTTTAGCGCTCCCTTCATCTGCGTCGCTTCTTGTGCTTCAACCTCATCTTCAATCTTACGACATATCTTTACGATTTCGTTTTCGTCACCATGGTCTTTGCGCATTTCATCCAGCGCATGACTGAGCCGTGTCCACGCTTCGTCCGTCATGGCGGCGTCAAACGTCTCGCCGAGTTTCAAACATACTTCCTTTGTAATACCTTCTGCATCGCACAGTTCCTTGAACGCGGAGAGATGGGCGTGTTCGTGCCGGATTAGATGCATGGCGCCTGCTGCGCCGAAGCGGTCGCGCCATATGGGATATCGAGAGTAAAGATGTGGTCGTAGTTGTCCTCCTATTTTCCCAATCATTTTCCGTTAGTATTCAACTATGGTAGTAGTAGTAGTAGTAGTGGGAGATTTCGATATCACGTGCGTAACCCGACTTACCATTTCGCCCGGTAGCAGCGCCACATACATCGCGTGCTTCTAGGATCGTCACTCGTGGCTGCGTGGAAGCATCTTCTGTGTACTAAACAAAAACGGTGGCCGGCATGTCAGGACAAGGGAGCTTGGAATCACAGCGATTGGGGAACCACCCGTAGGTGTGGATGCGTGACATACTTTGTGGAGCCAATAGGCGGTTGAGACGCCAGCATAGCCACTGCCAATTATCGCGACGTCGGTTTCTTCTGGGAGCGTCTCGCTGGATCGGTAGTCACGCAAGGGCGATTCAGCGGCTTCGATCCAGTATGATTTTGTAGGATTGGGCTTGGGCAGGACCATTGTTGCGTCGTAGTACTGCTAGCACTATTCAATCGTTGGATGGTTTACTAGACAAGAAATTGTAGATTTGGCGTGCAGGCAGGGAAGATGCACGTGGTGCTAGTCTCATTTATCTCAAGACTTCAAAAGAGATGTCCATGAGAGTACTCTTGTACCGGCCGGTGATTGCACCGGTTCACTGTGGGGGGAGATGATGGTCCGATTACCGGCCCGGCATCTGATAAGCAGCGGGGTCTCTTCTCCAAAGCTCGTGCACCACTGTGTTACGAGCTGTGACCGGGTGGCCGGCATCAGATTACTCGGACGCGTAGACTCTTGTTTACAGCATCATTAAATTCGTATTCATCTTGAGTCTGACTTTTCAGTCCCACATTTCAATCCTTCAATTGCTATCCCTCCCTTACCACGTCCTCATCAGCCCCTGCTTACAATAGACAATCAAACAAACGGTGAAAAAGGAGGAAACGAAAAACATGGGTTCACCAAAAAAACATGTAGTCTTCGACGTCGTAGGCACCTGCGTCTCCTTCGACGCCTTCTACGAAGCAATCGACTACACAATCGGCGCCAAACTTCGCCAGCACACCATAACCGCGCAGCACTTCGGCTTTACGTGGCAAACATCCGCAGAAATCGAATTCACCTTCTTCTCCATCCACGGGGGCTACAAGTCCTACAAAGACCTCTTATCTGGCTTCTTCTACCGCACCCTCAGTCTCTGCGGTGTCCAAGATCCCAAATCCATCTTTACGGATGAGGAAAGAGATAAGTGTGTCGAGGGCTATTCGGCGCTCAAAATACGGCCAGGTTGCCCCGAAATGTTCCAGATACTACGGGACAATGGATTCACCATATGGGCACTTACTACCGGCGACGTCAAGCGCGTAAGCGGATATTTTGAGCGTGCAAATTTGCACATGCCGCTTGAGAATCTCGTTAGTTGCGATTCCGTTGGTGTGGCGAAACCCGCGCCCGCAGCGTACCGCGTCATGTGGGATCGGCTGGGCGAAAATGATGTCAAGTGGTTTGCGGCTGGCCACATGTGGGATGTGACTGCGGCGACCAAAGTGGGGTTTCGAGGCGCGTTTACGACGGTGTATGAGAAGGATGCTTGTCTGGATATCTTTACAGAGGCGAAGATTGAGGTTGTGGAGGATAGCATGGTGGGGTTGGCTCGAGCAATTGTGGAGAAGTCAGGGTGAAACATAGCCCGGAAAAGAAAAGAAAAAGGAATTAAATTCGTATGATGCTTGTGCTTGTGTGATTTTATGCAAACGTATACTTCTTGCTCACTTGAATTTACCCCTCAACGACTGCAAAATCTCCTTGCTACCCAGCGGTGAGAATGTTGGCAGTGCTCTCTCACGCCTAGCCTCTCATGACCATCTAGGTACTCAGGTGATCTAAGCGAAACATCTTACTCAACTCAGGTTTTGGATTTTCAGTCATGATTCATACTGTCCCTGCATTACTACAAGCGTTTGAAATTGAAGCTTGACTAAAATAGTAACTATATGGGGTATTGCGTCCGCATAGGCACTAGTGCAAAGGCACTCATCTTTCTTATCAGATCTTCCTTCATCGCAAAATATTTGCCACAACCCAGTTACTCCATGTCCCCAATCGACGTGTGAAAACACTTAAATTTTCTCACTTAGATATTGTTGATAACTAATGTTCAGGCAGCAGCGGAAAGAAGACGATATTGAGTTCATTCCAACCACAGCCGCTAATTTACTGGGTACAAGGCTAGACGATACCCCTCTTCCCTTTATGATCCTCAAACACACTCCCCAAATCATCAACGTCCCATGGAGTTGTCGATGATTTCATCATAATGTCTGGCTACGAGCTCTAGTCGCTTTCTTCCTACCACAACCTACAATGTTTTGTGATCAAGCCTCCAATAGCGGCGCTGCCCGTAAAGGCCCTTTTCCGTACAAGCATCACCTTGTACAGAATCACGCTAAGCTTTTTCGTGTGCTGACTTCCCGTCTCCAGAATTTTCCAGATGCCGTGGAAAAGACCAGCTAGCTGCGCTAATAGAACAAGTACCAGGGCACTCCGTGCCGTGTCTGAGTAAAGGCGGCTTGGTGATCATGGGTCAGCAGTATGTTTGCGCATAGACATTACAATCAGGGAGCACCACATAACAAGGACAACAGCCTCATCATCATGATCGATATCAAAGGGCGCAAGAATCGGCATGGGACGCGCATGTGGTGGGACGACACGGCTGCTAAGAATCTATCGTGGGAGAGTGTGGGGTTGCGGGTCTAGTAAGCAAAACCAAGACAAGGATGGTTAGTTTTAAGACTTGATAAGAGGAGGGGATGCGCGGCTGGCCACAACTGCTACTCGCCCAGGCTTGGAAGTCTTCTCGGCCGCCATCCCTATACGGAAGGGATGGTTGGATTGACAAAACATGTCTCCACCAAAGCCATTGCATGTGCTGATAGCGAAGAGATGGATAACCCTCCCGATCGTCCAAAAGGGTTATCATGACCCCTTGCACCGGTCGTATGTTATCTTCCAATACCACGTTCATGTACAAGGAGATACTACACACCATCGGCACTTGTGCAAATCACGTGCGCATCAAGTACAACCGGGCCGGTTAGAACAGCCAACCATGTCTAACCCACCGTGCCGGCTATAATCACTGACCGTGCCGGTTGCACGACGATCCAACTTCCATTACCCACCTTACTACGCTCCCGGTCTAGCATGGAGCTCGAGAACCCAAGGCCCACCAAGAAGCGTCAATTGGCGGCCGGAGAACGACAACGGGCGGTGCGAGCGTGAGACTACACCCGCCTATTGCCCTATGTTCCCAGCTGCGCCCAGGATTCGCGCTGACTTGCCCTAACTAGTTGTGACGAATGTCGTCGCTTGAAAGAAAAATGTGAGGGCGGCTTGCCATGTAAACGTTGTCGCCATTTACGACGGACATGTGAATTCAACAATGCCTCTGCACCAGCTGCCAAACGCGCACAAGAGCCCATGGCCTCGTCCAAGGAACTCAAGGAGCGCGTGAAGTACATGGAGGCCATTCTCCATCACCATCTTCCGCAACTGCCCTTGGACATCGACACCTTACGGCGCACGTGCGAGTCACTCCCTGCTTGGTCACCTGGGTCCGACCGACATGGCGCGTCTGGCTTGCCCGTAGAAACTACTGCGCACCTGTCAGCTTCTGACAGTCCAGGCATTGAAGACGAGAAGTGCACTGTTGAATATGTTGATGATACTACAGCTCGTATGTTGCCACCGAGCTTCACCGAAGATGCACCACACTGATCCAAAGCTTGTAACTGGTGGGCAGATTACTCTGGTGAATTCTCACATTGGAACTTCTCCATGCACATCAAACGAAACATTGATGAGCTAATCGCCAAATCTAGTGTCCAGGTAGGTGTGAGTGTACCTCTTCATTCATCTTTCTAAACCCACATCACAAAACCACTTGCTCATGGCGTTTTCAGACTTTGGAAGATGTCAAGCGTGTGCCTGATTTCTTCCGCGTTCCTGAACCTGATCCTGGGTCGACGGCCATCTCAGACATTGTTGCCCTCATTCCTCCTCGCCCAGTAGCTACCTTTTTGGTCAACGTATTCTTCAGACATGCTACGAGCTTTTACTACTATGTCGACAAGCATTGGGTTAAAGAAACTCTAGAGGATCTTCAGACAAACTCAGCACGCTTACGTTCAAAACATGTCCCTGCTGCTTGCGTAGTGTTGATGGTACTTGCGGTAAGCACTCAATATGTGCACTTGGAAACATCAAATCCAAACGGCAGACGTGGACGCAGATCTTCAGCCGGCTCCGATGCCCCTGCTAATTGGGAGCTGGACGTCGGCTCCACCTTCTACCGCCAAGTAGCAAAGTCCATTTCTGAACTGATACATGCTGGTTCTCTACTAAGCGTGCAGGCATTTCTTTTACTCGGCTTTTACTCGTTGCCAATTGATGCATCTGGACTGGGCTACATCTACCTGAATCTAGCCGTCAAAGTGGCCATCCAGAACGGTATGCATAGAAGAATCTCGCGGGGCGCTTTCGATGCAAGATCAAAGGAGATTAGGCGGCGCATATGGTGGACGGTGTATTGTATGGAAAGGTCCGTATGCTCGGAGGACGATCGTAATATCTCTGCTTACTTTGGTGCACGTGTAGGAAAATCGGCATATATCATGGCCGCCCCGCATCCATCTCGCGCTCTGACATTGACTGCGATCTTCCAAGCAGTTCCACGCCAAACAGCATCGATGGCGATACTTTCGATGCAACAGGATTACTCGAATCCATCGATCTGACTTGCCAGGCAGAGGCATTCTTGCACCAGATGTTAGTTTTTTCTACGATAAAGCTGTCGCGTACAGATGCATATGGCTAACGGCACTGCCAGCTCCCAACTCCGAACATGTCCAAGACAAGAAGCTTGGCTAATTATGGACCACCTCAAGCAAATGAAGACTAAGTTGCCGCGGCCATGGGCATTTCGCTACCGTGATATATCATCACCTTTGATGGGAGACCGTATAGAGCATTCAGAGTCCCGCGCACGACTTCACGCTCACTTGGAATGTTGTCTGCTACACATGTTTATTGGGCGACCTTTTATTCTGGCCCATCGCCAGGTGCGGAAAGAAGACCCAAAAGACGACAATGCCCCCGAGCATCCAGAAGCAAAACCCGAAGCTCCGGCCGCTCCCCAACATATGCGCTGGAACTTCCTGATTGAAGATTGTATCGCAGCTGCAAATGAAGTCATCGACATCTGTCATGGCATGCAGAGAGGTAGTATGGGCCTCTCAAAAGCATCCTATGCTGAATATAGTGCCTGTCGCGCGTCACTCCTGGTTCTAATCGCGTATAGTATTTGTCGTCGCACCAATGAATTCTCAAGCAACTTACAAAAGGGCCTCAACGCAATACGGGAAATGGCCTCAGTTGGTGACTCCGCGCGTTCAGAGGTATTGCTTCTTGAGACGCTGGAAGCCGCTCTGAATCGGCTCCAGGCATTTGACGCAGACTGCGACCAGAGTGTATCTGACACTGGAGAAGAGATAATCCAGGATGGCTACGAGGGTTTACGCGACTGGTACACTAGAACAGCTGGCGCTATCCGTTCCCGTGCCAGCTCATCAATACCGATGACCGGTGATGGGTCAGGGATAAGGACTCAAGGCGTCCCGCTTTGTCCGCAACCTGCTCCCCATGGAGTAGAAATACCAACAGATTGCGTTCCAGAGAGTCACCCCGTCGACGAGTATCCCTTTAATCTCGACCTGTTCAATATGGACGGCAATATTGCTTTCTTTACCTCGGGTGTCAATAATAACGGCAATGTGGAAAGCGAATTGTTTGAGAATTTGCTGAATGGGGTGCCGAGGCATAGCCTTTAGCCAGCCACACTGAACGAATACGACTCTCCTTTACGCAAGCAATGGTCACTCTTACATGTTGAGCAAATGCATTTCTATTAATCTAGGGTAACTCAAGCAAACGTCCGTCTATAGTCTTGCTGCTAGGGCAGATTGACCTTTTTGAACTCGTTCCCACGTCTCACGCGCCGTGTGCTCTTTCCGCTCAGACCATCTTTCCGGAGTAATGCGATACGGCAAAGGTAAATCGACATTCTCCGCATCTCCAGTGAGAGCCATCACTGCTACTGCTTTCGCCGACAGGAAGATCTGCGGCATACCATGTCCTGTGAAACCAGCGCAAACGTATTGTCCAGGTCGTCCGCAAGCAGGTCCGACATAAGGAAATTCGTCATTAGAATACCCCATGACTGTTGTAACGAACGAATTAGTTCAAGCCATCTAGTCACTATTCGTGCAGTATTACTTACTTCCTGTCCACAAATCTTCCGTGCGAGCAGAGCTTTTCTCCCAAGCAAAAAAATGGCGCTGCATGTACCCATCGTAGTACTCTTTTCCAGCATCAATCAACTTGCTATCATCAACCACGTCAAACCAATCATCTAGATTCTTATAGAAGTCACGCTTTCCGCCTCCCACTACGACACTGCCATCTGGCCGCGGAATCATGTAATCATACTCGTAATCCGATAACCGCATCATGTAGCTGTGCCTGAGCTGCGGTGCATTTGGCGCTGCAATATGTGCGACCATGCCTCTAACCGGCACAATCTTGCCTTTCATCTCAGGAACCAGGGCAGATGTATACCCATTTGTAGCAAAGATCACCGTCTTCGTCTTGACCGTTCCGCGAGGAGTGTCTACTGCCCATTTGAGGCCTTGCGCATCATTTTCGATAGCCTGGACGCTCTCGACAGGCGTAAACGTTTGCAAGTTAACTCCTTGAGACACCGCTCTTTGCAAGAGATGTGTCACCAGACGGTAGGGTGCTAGACGTGCGCCGCTATATGTGTGACATGACAATGCTCCTTTGACACCAGACACCTGTTTAACCGGTCAGCACCAAAAAAAACATATGGCTTATGTCTCCGCAATCATATGTCAACAATGCACGAACCTCTTCGGCTTCACTGCCTGTATAAAACCTTATCATCTTCGCAGTGGAAATACCCGCTTTGCTAATCTTGTCGATACTGGCCTTCATCTTATCCCGTCCTTGGGCGTACTTGCAGATATCCATCACAGTCGTCACTTCAAAGTCGCAGCCAATCTGCTCGCGCTCGACGAGCTCCTTGATAGCGGCGACCTGACGTTGCTCAAACGACGCCACATGCTCTGCGACTGCTGCGCCATAACCGTCTAGCAGACCGGCTGGCCGCAATAGCGGGTCTGGTTTCAAATGTCCACCTGTACATATGCGACACTATTAGCAACTCGCCACAGGGTTGTTCATGTATCTTACTACAATCAAGTATATACGGTACGTACCATTTCGCCCCGTAGCCCCTGAACAAGTCTCGCGCGCCTCGAGAATTACTATCGAGGGAGTCGCTTTACTGATGCGCACGCTTTCTTCCAACAAATGATGTACAATCGATGCGCCGGAATATCCAGCGCCAATGACTACAATGTCTGCCGTAGGGACCAGGTCAGTGGTACTGCGATGACTATCGATTGCAGCAGGCTGTTTCCGCCAATAAGATGGCAGCGAATTCGATACGGGAAATTGACCATCACTCCGTTGAGAAGGAATTGGCATGATGGGCATTGAGGGGTTTGTTAAATTATGGTAATGTCCGGTACCTTGGCTGGCTGCGCAGATATCGTAGCAAGCGATGTACCATGTTGAACTTTAACCGGGTGCGTTGCGCGATGTGATTCGATTGTATTTTTTGCGGGACCGGCCCGGCGTTTGGCAGCAATGTTGCGGGCTCTTGGAGGTCATCAAGCAATTGCCGGTGTGGGTCGAATATTGACAACCTTTACACACTTCGCTTCGGCGATGCTAGTGATCAACAAAGCGATAACGATAGTATTCGGATTGGGATGTGAAGATGACTCGTCGGTAGATTGTAGAGTTCGCACTGCATGTATCGTGCGCAGCGACCGTGCGAGACTTACAGCCAAACGTTTGGGTACTGTCCGTGCGCACCCAATGCAACACTTCAGCCAATGCAACACCCCACCAAAATGCGAGCTCACCAAAAAATGAAGCTTTTAACCAC